CATTTCGTGGTGCTCGTTGAGCGTAGGTGTGGATACCTCGGTAACCTCGTGGTCGGTCCACAGGATGGACCACTGGCTGCGCACAATTAGGCCTGGGCGCAGAACGAATTCATCTTCGTTGGATGCGCGAGACTCCGGCCAGTTCGGCACGATCGATTATCAATCATTCTACCGCGATCCACACGCTTCGTGTAGCACATTGTATGCGATGGAAAAAAAGTAGAACCGAGGCCGGTGTACGCGGCGTAAAGGCCGTAGGATGTGTATCCACCCTCGCAACCGGCTGCTCGTCGACGTTTCGATGTTTCCTGATGGACGTTTCCAGTGCCCCGCGGGCATGCACGTCGATTGGGATAAAGTGGCTGTCGGGATTTATAATGATGGGCCCCGCGCCTGAGCTGGATTTTATCGAGCACCAGGCCCAGGAAACTCGATCTCAGGCCACGTTGTGATTTATCGAGCCGTCTAGTTTCGTGAACCGTTCGACTTGATTTCGTGGCCTCGAGAGCTTCGCCCCACGAGACAAATCATTGCTCGAGCTTTGAGTAATTTTCTTCTTTCCATTCAAAGGGATTCTAATAACAGTTGTGCCACACTGGAAATAGGCGTATTCTTTCAATTACCCATTGTAAAAATAACGACAAATATTTTAGACTAAGAAAGTTCTAGGAGGAGATATGTTCTAGGTAAAATTTATAGTTGGTTTCTCATTCGATAGGATCTTCCAAGTTAATAGGAAAAATCTTGAAACGCAATTGCGTATTCTGTAATTGATTAATGGTAGTTTTCCGAGAATACAGAAAATCTGAATATCTAAATGTAAATTAGATAAACCACGAGTTGTTGGAGTAATAATCCTTGAGCAATCCAGCTTGTCCGTGCATCGAGACTCGTTCGTCTTGATGAAAAGAAAAAAAAAAAAAAAAAAATGAGAAAATTAAATAGAATCTGAAAGTTTACCATCAGCAGTTAATTTCTTAACAGAACTCTGTCAAACGAAAACGAATCGCACTTTGTAAATTGAACAGGATCGTAGGTGGTGATGGTAGGATTCATACGATTCTCCGTCTAATTTATTGACAACGAGCGATTCTAATAACGCATACAAAAGAGTACGTTAGACGTGTCACAGGCTCGATCTTCAACGATGATGACAGTTAACGATTGGCTTGAAACAATGGGACGTGTCGATATTATTAACGCTTAGCAAACATTGAATATCGAGTGGCGAATTCTTGTAAAGGTAGAAAAAAATCCTATTAGAGGTAGACGAACGATCGAGGAGGCGCAAATTAATCCAGCCGCGAAACGATCCACGGACCGATAGCTTCGTACTCGCAGATAATCAGCAGCTGGGGCCAAGTTAGAATGCGTTTACGTAATTGAAGTACGCGCGGATTGGCCGCGTGTCCGCAGGAGAGAAAGACAGAGGCAGAGTATAGCCGCGGAACGGTCGTGCCGATGTCATTGTACAGCTTGATTTATAGCCCGTTTGCTCGTGCACCGTCGCCGTTGGAAAATCGTTTGCATTGCGCAAAATTTAATAAAGCAATCCACGCATCGACGTCTCGATTCCCGTAATCTTTCGAGACGAACGTGGGTCCGTAGGGATCGATGAAAGGTACGGATTGCGTAATCCTGGCTGATCGCGTGTTGTCTTCGATCACGTTTCGTTGGAGGAAAAAATCGCTACGAATCGTCCGAGAGCGACTCCGTGTTACGACGATGGGTGCTGATAAGCGAGTCGCGTTACGGTGATTAATAAACGCGACGACAGGGCACACTGGTAGAATGCGAACTTTGTGCAATTAGGATTGACGTGTCTTTCGTATGAATATGTAAATTCATAGTAGCATGATAATAAACTGCCGGTCTTCAACATAGAGTGACTGACATTTTAGTATTTTGAATGTGTGCACATCTCAGTCTGATGAACTAGGAGAAATTATATACAAATACATTAGACGAATTAAAGGTATTAGACACGTCAGATGGATCAGATGGAACAGGTGTATCGCACGGATTAAATTTTGAGGATTAGACTAATAACTTGTCTGTTGAAGCTAATGCCATCAGTCACACCTGTTCCGATTTAACGATCCTGATTCTTAGATCTATCAAACAAGAAACTGGACTTGGTTTTTAGAAGGACGTTGAGGTAGGTTGGTCGCGCGAATGGGTCCCCGCGAAACGTCGATAGAGTCATCGTTGTCGCCGACGCGGCTCCGCGAACAGTGATAATAGTCAGGATTAATAAATCCCGTTTTCTACGGCCATCAATCGCGGCGAGCCGAGGCAAGGATTGTTAACACGTTCCTACCTCAACATCCACGATAGAAATATCACTCTCCCAGCCGAGATACGGTAGGTGCGAGTTTCGTCTTTTTCTTCTTCAACTTCTATTGCTCCTTCCTCCTCTTCTTCTTCGATAATCCGCGTTTAGACGCGATAGTCGGTGCTTGGGGCACGCGGACGTTCTCGCTTGACAAATGATCGTCGGCCATTCGATTCGTACGCTTTCTATGCCCGAGCGGTGAAGCTTGTACCGTGTACCGGTCATACCCTGTTGTGACGCAATCGGAGAAACGAACGAAACACGACAATGACGCCTCCACCTTCGCCGACACCCGTCTCACACCTTACGCCGAAGGTAAACGCACCATTGATTCTAGCCGTACGTGCGGGGGAGAGTCGCGTCGAACGAATCGGCGAAGGAATCGCACGAGTCAGCCAGCAAGTATTCCCAGGAATAGGGTATATTGCTTGCAGCGAGGTATCAATTCTCCAGACAGTGGCGTCTGGGTTTGTTCAGACACCTAAACTGGAGATATAAATAGAGATGCCATGTGTCATTTACTTAAACTACTGTCTATAAGTAGTGATATTAATTAATCCTTCATCCCAGTGGTGGGTTCTAAATAATACCATCGAGTATCAAATCATTTTCTTACATCACATTTTCTTTTCTATGAAGGGTTAACATGTTTAGCAAGGTACCTCCATTCACCGTTTGGATATTAAAGGAAATTTTGTCTGGTCCATCTCCGGTTCATTGGGTTTGAATACACAAAAAGCACGGGTAGCAAACGAGCAGGCGAAATTCCTAAAATGTACCGTGTGATCAGGGGGTAAATTGACGACAGGCTCATTAAAATGTTGTCAGAATCTCTTCTGTGTCTCAATCGTTTTACGAGGTAATGTCACCAGTGAATCTTTTTGCGAGCATCACGGCGTACACTTTTCTCAGTCTATGGACGCAATTTCGCGAAACGAAACGGCAGGATATAATAACGTTTCGTGAAATTCTACGGATCCTCGGGCATTTGCATACAGGCTGGTCGTTATCCTTGGGTCGGACGAAGCACGCGGGGGCGGAGTCTTCAATTTTGCGCGAACGGCTCATCCCGCAGGCTCATCCCGCTCGACGGAGGGCAGGGTACGCGTAATCGTGGTGGCAAAAAAGTTATTACGTTTTTTGCCGGTTGTCCGAGATTAAAAACGGCCCGGAGCTTTGTAATTGCGAGCGATAGTGGCGCGGCGCCCGGTGGCTGCTACCGGACATCAGTGCGAGGGTTCTTTCCGCTCGCTTTCCTCCTGTTTCGAGAGAGGGAATATCATTCGCCGAGACCAGTCGACGGAAAGAGGATCCTCCGGGCACGACCGCGCAAATTACAGGCCGGACCGACAACTTCTGCTGTCGAAGATGCCGGCCGAAGGTAGAACGGTAGCGCGGAAGCTCGATCGTTGCCGAATGTCGCGAAGCGTTAAAGGGTTGCATAATTATTGAAACCGAAGCGAATTATGGAATTCTTCCTGCTGTTCCTTTTTCTTTATATTCTTCTATGTTAACGATTTCGTTCTTGGAAGATGCATGCTTCTTTTGATGATCTTCAAGGGTTGAAACGAAGCTGAATTCCTTGAAGATTGAACCCGCTGATTCCTATCATTACCAGCTTTTGGATCTGACTATTATACAGATGAAACATTGTGATATTTCTTTCCGAAGGAAATTGGATGATGAGAATTGCCTTGTAATTTGACTTCACAAGTATTCATGAACTAAAGATTTGATACATCGCCGATTGTAAAGCGAAATCTTAATTCTCTAATTCAACAATTGCTAGAACAATTTGTTCCATCAGAAGTCTGTCTCTCGTCATTCGAGTCACCTGCGATGTTGGCTGCGTTTATTTCAATGATTATCGTTCGATCGACGTGTCGGTCATCGTAATTCCGCGCGCGATATCGTTTCGATACGGTTCTCCGCTCGCCGAGAGACAGCGCAGCGGCTTCGGAATGGGTGAGGGCAGCCGCGACGGGGGCGGTTGAAAAGAAACGGCAAATTTTCACCAGTCGACCGGTCGTAGCTGCCCCGCTCTTTTACATAATATGATTTTCAATTGCACACGCCCATCACGTATCACGGCGCCTTTCTATTCATATAATCTTGGCCGAGCGTGTGTACGCACGCGGTGCAAGGCACATTTGATTATCGAAGCTCGGTTGCAGCGAGAGGAGGCGAGCTCGCAGTCGCGCGCGGACATAATACCAACATAGCCTGGCTTCTTTCTTAGTGGGTATGCATTATAATGCATCTACAATGCAGCGGCGCGGTGCACATCAAAGCGGGCTACGTGAGCGACTACGTAGCCGTGTACGGGCAATAGCCGAGAGCTCAAGCTGCCGATACGAGAATCGCCTAATGGCCGACCGATCGATCCGTCGCGTCGCTTCTCTATTCGTCTCGCGATCCTCTATTCTTTCTCTGCTCGGCTTTTCCGTGACTTCCTTTCCATGCGTATTCCTTACCCGATACTTTTCAAGTTCAACTACTAACAAGGGATTTACGAGTCAATCGATACGTATCGACTTCGATACAATTTTCATACGATATAGGATTCGAGAAAATATTTGAAAGTTAGGCACGTTAATGTACTCCCACAATCTTTGCCTGCCGACGTTAATGATCGAGGTAATAACAACGTTTCTGTGTGTTACAGAGCTTCAGCGAGATTTCAGCCAGGGTGGAGATCATCAATGGATCACAATGCCGTATTGTCCCGGTGATTCGCCGCCTACGTTAGTCAACACGAGTCGGTGAGTTTTATTGCCTCATAAAGGTTCTAATATTATTACCGAGTTACCAAGTGGAGATCAATTAGTTGTGGAAGGATCGAGTGTTAACAATCGGTATATCGGCGATACCCGTTGAAATGTCTAATTATCGTACAAGCTGCATTCTTGATGCAATTAATTTCGTTCCGTGAGACACTCCCGATCGTTAAAGAATATCAAAGCTTCTCTTAACGACACGATACGCCGGGAGATCGCCCACTGACGGAAGAGAAGAGTGTCTCGCGTGGAAACGCGACGAGCTATCGATTCCTTGACGAGGACGAGAACAAAGGGAATCTCGATCCGCGCGCCCAGTGACCCAATACCACGCGTACCGATCCACGCTGGGAAATGGCCGAGAGAAACTATCCCGTGGAATCCGTCGCGTCGGGGACGGGGCACGATCAACGACGGGCGAATCCCTGGCATATCGCGCGCAGTCGATTCAATCAGAAGTGGCGCCATGCCGCATCGAAGAAGAAGAGGAAGAAGAAGACGAAGAAGAAGGGGTCGTTCAGTCGACGACGAAAAAAATGAAAAGAAAGACAAAGATACGTACGGATGGGTGGGATAGGGAGACGAAACGCGTTGGCGTTCAGCTTTATAACACTGGTAGCGGTGTATTGGAACGACGATCGCGAACAAAGAGAGAAAAGGGTGAGGATAAGGGGGAAGAAAGGAAGGGCGAGATAGAGAAGGAAATAAGAATCCGTTGCAGAGGCAGTCGGATCATCCCAGGCGGCGTGTGCTAACTAATGGCATTCAAAATTAGCCCTACTCGCGGCGAAATTATTGAATCCGATCCCGTGGGTGGCAGCCGACGCCCGTCGACGCGACGCGGACCAAAGTTCCTCGGCGTGGCGCGGCTCACGGTAGCCGGGAGGGTACCTCGCGACCGCAATTGCTCAGCCCTCCCAAGGGGTTCGATATTAGTTTTTGACCCCACGTCCTGCCTCATCTCCGCTACTCCCGTCGCCGTTCCGTCGTCGCGAAACGTTTAACTGGTTATTACGGTTATAGAGTACGCGCATCCCCCGCGATATAATCTATATCCAGTTTCGCTCTCCCTTTCGTTCCTTCCTCGAGGGAAGACTCGTTGGTCCGCTGTTTTTTGCGTTTTCAGTCTTCTACCGTCTCAACGATTTAGTAGTAATAACGTTGGACGTAGTCTGCGATTCAATTAGTCTGCTTCTTCCGTCTGTAGTTCATTCGTTTATTTAGTTTCAGAGTTAAATGGTGGGTAAAGATGTTTGATTAGCTATTTTGTTTAATTATTTCTTACATTGAAATCAGAGGAACTTTATCTTTTATATTAATTTTGATTGAAGAAAGGAATAAATTAACAATGTATAAAATTAGTAATTATACATGAAATTTTAAATGAATCTCTCAAAGTGTTAAACAAGAAATCTACTTGTCAGACGTGACCCTCCACCCCCTATTTGTCAGTGATCAAAAGAAAAAAAAAAGACGTATCACTCGAAGAAATTCGAAGAACAAGCCTCAGGAACAGAATAGCGCTAATGATCCCCGAAAAACCGATGATTGACTCGTAACCGGATCGGACAGGCGTAGTTACGCGGCTTCTGGTCGACATGACTGCACGAATTTGTGAATAGATAATTAGAAACGAAACGATTAACGTCGTCTAACGATTATTCCGGCTCGCGTGAAATTCGTTGTAACCACCCTCTGGGTATAAGGAACGCTTCCACGCGATCCGTGCCCTTTCACCCTTTGTCCTGTCTAAACGAGCCCTCCCCTCTCTTCGCGTTCCACCTTCACCGGCCAAATCGTTCAGACTCGTTTCGGCCTACCGACGTCTTGCTGGCGCGTTCTAAATGCCGGTGATGAGATCATTTATCATCGTACGAAAACGCGAGGCTCTTCCCCGAGGCCTGGCATCACGCTTCCGCGCTTCGCTCGCCTCGTTCCCACGACAGGCCTCTACACACGGAGAGGATCGAGACACGCGGGTCCATTCGACACGGATCCCATCCTCGTCTAACGTGTCCCGCTTTTACTCGGCCAATCGGCACGCGCAGCTGCCAGAGTATTTTCGTGAAGGAACAAACGCGATTCGAACACGGTCGACGACTTTTGTTACGTTACCGGCACCGGTTCTCTTTGCTTCGCCTGGAGAACGTATGTTGGCCAGGGTTAGTGATCAACACCTTGATGGACATACCTTTTGAAGAAGGTATAAGTGATGTAATTTGGAAGGGGATTGTTGGTAGGCTTGATATGAAACATGTGGGAAATACAAATTTCTTGTTTATTTAAGATGTAGTAACATTACAACAGAATTGATGGATTGATATCATGTACACTATACAAATTGTAGGGTAAAAGTGAAGAAGGCGTAATGACACTTTTTTCATTTGTTAAGTGAAAATTTAAATTAAATTAAATTAAAATGAAGTAACATTATAACAGAACTGATTATTGATGAATTGATATGAAAATTTTAGTTAAATCAATTCGTAATTTCATTTGAAATATGAATCGTTCAATGTTCACTCGAAGGAACATTTTCTTCTTGTCATTCCTGTTAAAAAACTTAGATGATCTTCAGATGACACAGTGTTTTCAGTGTATCAAAAAGCACGACGTCTCGTTTCCAATTCTCCTTTTCGTCGCTACAGTGCATGTCCAATTTCTCGAGATGAACATAATGCAGGAACTTTCTACCTAAAGATCAACTCCTTTATCCTCGTTTAAAGGCACAATCTAAAATGAAAGTTTTTCTACGATTCCTTTCAACTTATTCAAGATAAATACGTAACGTTTCGTTAATGCTCGACACGGTTATTAATGATTAACTTCTCAAAGTAATCACTTTGATAGAGGATTGATTTCAGACGGTGTATTCAATTACATTGGGTCGTTGCAACGATCCTTGCAGGTTTCTTTTATAATATGCAACGTAAAATAAATTGAAAAATGAATATATCCTTAAGCACCTGTGTCGCAAATGAACGCTACGACACAGGTAGTAACAATCAAACAGTACCTACTCTTCTTTCCGCAAACTAAAGACAATCCGACTGTCGACAATCGCTCGGTCGAACCTTCGGAAGGAATCGCCGTTATTACAGCCAACTTTCATTCGACTTTCATTACACGAAAGTTCATCCGTCGACGTTGTTCGTACATGTCGGACGAGAGGGTTACGTAAACGTCGATCTGACCCGGACCATTTTCGTGCGGCCGTTTAAAGCGTCGTTCCGCCGAGGGAATCGTTGATTGTCGGTCTCGTTGGCGATTCTAATTAGTCACACCCGCGCAGGTGTATCGCGTTTAACGAACAACGTCGAACGGGTTGCCAGTACCGCGGCTGATTCGAGGAGAAAGCGCGGACAAACGAATTCTATGGATCGCGACTCGATGGATCTAACCGTAGAGGCTGTTAAACTCGAGGGCACGAAGTTTGACGTTTACAGTCGCGAAACGGTCAGTCGTTTTAATTACACTCGAGAAAGGAGAAAAGAAAACGAACGGGTGAGAATAAAGCTATCCGTCGATGCAAGTTTCTCTGGCTGGAAATGAGACGTTTGACGTTTATTACCGTGAAAAAATCGAGTCGTTTTAATTTCGCTTGAAGAGGAAATTGTGACGGTTGATGATAATCGTTTTACAGTCGAGGATGATCGTTTTTACAGGTGGATACTTAATCAACGAGTGACCAATGGACGTGAGTAGCTTCGAGTCGTCGTTTGTTTACGGAACTGCGCGACGTGTCGACGCGTTTATGGCTGAGAGGATCGCGATGATACTTTTGTCGACACTGATACCTGATTCGAATAGCGGAACTAGTTATCTCTAATTAATTCTCGATTTCTGAATAGAAATATTTTGCTTTTCCATTGAAAATATGATTATTATTGAAAAATCGGTTTATAAATAGGAATATATTGCAAACATGATCGAGCAATCTGTTTATAAAGCACGCTTTCGAGCCCAGGAAACTTTCTTCGCAAAGACGAATCTTAAACGTGACTGTTCGTCAATTACCCGTGGAACAGGTCGCGAAGCGGTGGTCGTTTCCGCGGAAAGGACGAGTCCCCGACGTGTCGTTGGTTGTACATCATGATGATCGGCCTACGCGAAACCAGCAAGCTGGTCGTAGCCTCGAATTTGTTTGAACGAATCCGAGCGGCAGCTGGAACGAGTGCTACAAGTAGCGGGCCCCGTGTGTCTCGCCCACGCGATCCTGTTCGAGACGCGGAGCGTTAGCTCGCCGCTTAGATTTGCATAATGCGGAATCGAATTAATGGATTCAGGGCTGACGTCGACAAATATATCGGGGCTGGGTCGAATTCGCGCTGCTTAGAGGTGTTCGAGCCTTTTGATTAGGATGAATGCGGCCATTGTTCCCACGAGAGCAACGTGCCACACAGGAGACTCTGGTAATTGAATAGAGACATCGAAAAATTCTGAGGCTCGTTTTATTGCTGGGACGAATAAACGTCGATGATGATGTGATTTTATGAAAGGGAAAGAAAGCAGAAATCAATGGAAAGGAACGGAGAATAAAGTAAATCGCATTAAGTATTTTCAATAATATTATTTATTAATAGAAAAAGAATAAGAAAATTGCAGTACAAATTGAAATAGTTAAAAGTAATGACCGGATAACTAGCGAGTGGAAGCTTCTAAAAATTGTAATTGCCAAGTGCGGAATACGGCATCGCAGTGGTATCGATGAAGAGATCAATCACCGACAGGTATGAGTGATCGCCATAGTCATTTAGGATCGTTTCGAGTAATTCCGATAGAGATCATTAGGACCATCAATAGCAAAATTTGGCGTTATTAAGTTCCGTATCTTCAGTGAAACGTTTCAAAGCGGAACGTCAATTACGTGGCAGAAGATCGGACGAACATTAAGAAAAAAGAAAAAAAACTCGAAAGTGGCAAGGACCATTACCTCTTCCAGTACGTTCGGAACATTAGAAGTTTAGAGTGGTCCTGAAGGTGGC